CTGCCGGCATGGCTGCCGTACTGCGCCGCAAGGCAACCGCCAATGTGTACCCGCAGATTGGACACTTCTTCTGCAACCTAGAAGTAAGTACAATATGCTCTTACAACTTAGCAGACTGGGTAGGGTTAACTTACGCTGAATATATGAAAGAAGTAACTATCCATAGGAGTACAATTATAAACTGTAACTTTTCAAACATATTTTATATTAATTCCAGGAGCGACGAGCTGTGACAAGTCCCGATGGTGACAAGGACACCGATCCCCTACTTGTGTCTCTTTTGCAAGAGGGATCCGACATGATGGCAGATCTACGACATATTAATCTGAAACCTCAACACTGCTACCGAAGCCCCGAACCCATCAACTTGTACCATAAAGTTGGTCATGGTAAGTCGTGTTGTCGCATGAAATATTTCTAACACTTTCAAGTGATTGCACAAATGTGCAATATCTTATTTCTACTTCCTAAAAATTATCGTATCTCTATTACAAATTTACTTAATTTTTTATGTTAAAATATTAGCAGATTTTTTTGAAAATTTATTAACCACTCCAACTAAGCTCTTGACTTGTGCTAGGATATGGTTTACGACAATAGTCGAATGGCGAGATTCGAACCCCCGACCTCGAGGTAGGAAATCCGTACCCTTAACCATTAGGCTATTTTCTCTCGCTTACTGAAAAAATTAAGAAACATATATCTTGTTCACAGGTACTCTCGACATGTACGTACTGAATCCGTCCAAGGACTCAAAACACGTTCGTGAATTCCTGAAACGATGGCACAGTAGTGAACAAAAGTTGTTCGAAGGCGCTAGTGTGTCAGGACAATTTAACTTTCCCATTCCTAATCTAGTGTCGATATGTGCTTTACTCGTGTGGCGTCCTGCTAACCCTGATGATACAATAACTAGAATAATGTTCCCCGGTTCTACGCCTCAACATAAAATATTCGAAGGTCTCGAAAAGTTAAAACACTTGGAGATTCTTCAGCATCCCACGTGCACCGGCCGCCAATTAGCGACTGCCGCCGCGCCGGCACCCGCTCCTGTTGCAGTTCCCACCGCACCTACGGTAGTGTCCGCGATCAAAACGAAACAAGTAAAAAGTAAAGAAAGAAGTA